TATCTTTTTCAAACCACTCTTCTAATATGCACTTGGAATTGAAGACAACACCCATGAAAAAGACAAGAACAAAATATTACAGATTCATTTTTAAGAACTGGTCACTAACTTCATTAGTCTAATATAATTTTTTCAGGAACTATAAAATACTATGATTCCTATTAAGAAAATATCCAGCAAGTTTCCTGGATCTGCATTCAACACTACTAAATATTAACTGTACTCCAAAAAAAAAACTTTTTGGGGAGCAGTATCAGCAAAACAACAGTTTACAGTCAGAACTTTTCAGAATCACCATCATCTCTATTATAATTACTGTTAAAGCCATGGGACCAAAATACAATCATGTGCAAATATTAGTTTTGTCATACAGCATTTGTGAGACGTACCTCACCCACACTAGCAGTCTACCACTGTACCTACCTGAGAGCTTTCACTGGCCATAGGAGACATCCAACCTAGACAAAAGGTTTTCAGATACCCAAGAGTGTTCATCCACAGCACTCTGACACTCTACCCTAAAGAAGACTGTCTTCAAAAACAATCACTGATGTGTTTTAAGGGATAGTTCGAACCCTGATAAGATTAACAAATTGGTAAGTCAGCTGCACCAGCTTGGACTAAAAAACAGACATTTCAAATTGAAAAGAGATTTCTGGGCTCCCAATTTTCAATGGGAAGGAAGTAGACTGAAAATACAACTCAGTTACAAACTGGGATAATTTATAGAAAAGGAAGACTTCTCAAGGGGTGGAGCCAAAAGCAGAAGAAAATAAAAAAAGATTTTCAAGGTAGCAGAATTGGGTCTTGGTCAAGGAACACTCATTGCCCACAAAGCAGGGGATTCTGACTAATAAGCCTGGCTGGATTTCAGAGGTTTGCTATATGGTACAGAAACTGCTACACACCTCCCACACCTCTCTTATTTGGATGGAAGTTCTAATGAGGTTATCCTGTACCTGTCTTACCATTTTATGCTGAGTTAATCTTTTCAATTCCTAGACCTATATCAAGAGAGACACAGCTCCTTCCATCAAGTGAAGTCGAATCCTCCTCACTCCTTTTTTTAATCTGGGCTGGTTTTGTGGCTTGTTTTGACTAACAGAAAGTAGCAAAAGTGAAATGACTCAAGAAGCCTTGTGGCTTTCACTCTTGTCCTCTTGGAGCACTGCTGCCATCAGGTAAAAAGCCCAGGCTATTCCTAGAAGAAAGGCCACATGAAAGAACCAATTGCTGCCCCTACCAACAGCCCCACGTAATTGCCAGATATTTGAGGCTAACTTAAACCACCCAGCCCTACCTAGTCAAACTGCTAGATGTTTGAAGCCACATGAGTTGACTCCAGACAGTAACATTTAAAAACAAACTGCCCAGCTGAATCTAGCTCAAATAGCAGAATACTGAGAAAATAATTGTTGTTTTAAGCCACTACATTTTGGGATTACAGTCGTCCCCTGGTAGAAGCAGGGGATTGGTGCCAGCAGCCCTCTCGGATACCAAAATCTGCAGATGCCCTTATATAAACTGGTGTAGTGCCCTCCGTATCTGTGGATTTTACATATATTTGTATATAGCAATAGATAACTAAGACAGATGTAAATAAAATAATGATGCATCTCAATTTAATGAAATAAAACCAGTAGCTCGATAAGCACCTTTAAGAAAAAACAACCTGAGGAAGAGTAGAAATTCATGCAGTTGGCATGAACATAAAATACCATAGACCATAAATTACTACCTCTGTGTTCTAGATGGATGCTGAAAGATAGTTTGCAGAGTTAGACTATCACAGGAAAAATCCTTTCCTAGCGCTATCCAACCTCCAGTCTTAAATTTCAAATGGGTAAGGGATGAGTGATGTCTATTTATTGTAAATGAAAACAAAATGGATAACATCCTTGAATTATGGGCCTCTTTTTAATGACAAAGTCTTCAACATTCAACTTCAAATAAACTTTTAGAATACCACTGATATGACCACTACCAAACAATAATATAAATGAGGACACTGAATTGAAGGCCATTTTAACAAGATTATTTCAATAAAGTAGAATTAATTTTTGAGGCCAAAATAAAATGGACAATGTACTCAATTTTAATATAGCGGTTTTTTTTATTAGGGAGGAAACGTGTGTTAACAAATCACTCAAACTCAGGCAACCTGGGTCTAGTCTGGCGGGGTGAGCTAGGACAAATAACTTAATTCTTTTTCACTTTGATTCCTCAACAATGATCCACCTAACAGCTACTACTAGCACTCTAGAAGATTCAAAGAGAACATGAACTTCACCTAATTAATAAGCTAAGAATAATGTGGTTAGCTATAATTACAGTTTCTTGAATTATTATTAATACTATTTATTATTATCTAATTAAAGCCACCATGCACTGAGCACTTATACATATGCTAAATCTATGTTCCCCTAAAGATATTAACAATCCTATGGAGAAGGTATTATTACTCTATTTTACATAATAGTAAACTGAGTTATAGAAAGGCTAAGTAACTTTCCAAGGTCTCACAGCTGGTCAGTGACAAAGCCAAAATCAAATGCAGGTTTGTTGTTTTAAAGTCTTGGTCCACAACTTTCAAATATGAGACGAGTGTCTGAAGTCCAAGTTCCAAATACAAAACAAGAATTTTACTGGCAGAAATGCAAATGGAGGCATATACTGGGCCATCCGAAATGAACCACGAATCACGTGACCTAACTTCTAATGTAAATTCTACACTACCTAAAGCTGTATGTAAGACAACGGGCAAGTTAGCAAATTAGCTAGCAATGGAAATCAGTTTTTAATCAAGAAGAAATTAGGATGGTCGCCAAATGTGAAATACTATTTGAAAACATGAACTTTACTTTTAAATATTGGAACATTTTAAATATTGAAAATAAGAACAGATTTGAAAAGAAGGATAATGATAAGATAACACAAAGATGAATTAGAAACTTTTTATTTAAGTAGCGAGGACCAGAAATGCTATTTCAAAAATCACATTTACATAGAAGGAAACCAATAGTAGAAAGAACAGTCTACAAATGTAAATCTTTACTTTGAGAAGAGGAAGGGTAGCTGAACTTAAATGGAAAGATAAAAGGTCAGATACACCGTGTGGAGAGTCACCGAAAATAGGGAAAGCTCATAAACAGGAAACGTGTACAACCAAGACTTCTTTAGGCCTAAATTATCCATCCTTTGAAGCATTTTATGAACCTAAATAATCACTGTCCTCTGAGTGCATCCACTTATAAAGAACAAAAAAGGTTTATAATTTTACGCTACAATGAATGAGTATTTAAACCTACTTTTGGGTTTAGAATTACTACAGCAACCTTATATGCAGAAGAAGTGTCACGGCAACATTAGATGTCACAAAAGAGCAGTTATGTCTTGCTCTTACAAGAGAACCAGATATAAAAAATGATCCAGGAAATGGAATGACCAAATAGAAAATAGCCAAACTGTCAGATGCTGAATAAAACAGCATCAATGAATTACCTGAATTAACTTATAAGTTCTTTATGCTACACCTTCAAAATATTCTAAAATAACACCTATCTGGCAAGTTACAAAATGTCTCTTTAGAATGTCTATGATTTAAGAATCATCTAATTCTCCACAAGCTGTAATGATGGAATACTAAATACTAAACTTCTGGGGGAGAAAAAATTCTCCAAGTACAATCATTTCATCTTTAAAGTTTCAGGCCAGTTGTATGGAATTTTCTTAAGTGACATTAGAGGCAAAGGAATAGTTGACTGAGTCTATTCATTTCTACAGAGTCAGTCAAGCTGTCAATAACAACCAGAATCATTTCATTAACATAACCCTCCAAGAAATATCAGACTAACAATCAGAAGAGGGATACTTTTCCTCTTCAGGATTCTTAATAAGAGAGAAAACCAGGAGTAAAAAAGAGATGTAAACTCAACAAGCCAGGAGTGAAATTTGTGTGACCACAAATTACGTATCCAGGGGAATATCCAGAGGAAATTAACCAACCAACTTCAACCAACAGTCGGATACAAACGACACGTGCAAAGCAACTGAGCTCATTAAGAAACCCGGAGTGGTACTTTTAAAAAGATATTTATATGTTGTATTAATTTAAGTGCAGATAATGAACATCTCAGCCGCCTTCGTTTGCCCATTTCTATGCCAAGCCCTTTCGAAGCTGGGTTGATAAGGTCGCCTCCAAGAAGGAAAGGCGCTCATGTGGGAAATGGTATCCTCATACAGCCCAGAGAACCGCTGACGCACCAGGAGCTTGGAAAATATACCGTCGCTTACATTGCTAAGAGCAGTTAGGTAGGAAAATGATCGTCCACGTGCACTATTGTTTTCCAGGTGTGTTCACTTATATTTAACTTATGCTTTGATATCACTACCTTCAACCTCAGGCAAATGGTGGGGAGGAGGGATGGCAGCGCCGCTGGTGGTATCTGGGTGCAACACAAGTTTAAAAAACAAAAACACCACCTTTTTTTTTTTAACTGCAGCGTTCCGGGGGCCCTCACCTCTCCTCCGTACCTCTGCCATCACCCCCGCGCGGCTCTCCGCTGCCGCCGCCGCCTCGGATCCCCATGACAACGCCCCCCCCAGGGTGACCCCCCCCCACCTTCGCCGCGTCCCGGTCCGCGTCCCGGCCCGGCCCGCCACACTTGCTAGACAGGTGACAATTCCACCTGCCCGGGGCTCTCACTCTCCCCGCTCCCGAGAGGGGGGCCAGGAACCCCCAGCCCCGGGCCAGGGCACGACCCTCTCCAGTCAGGGACATGGCGAAAGGCGGCCGGGGAGCTGAGGAGGTTCCACTCCGACCTCCAAACGAGTGACGCGGGGGCCGAGGCGCGACCCCCAAAAGGAGTGCGGCGACCCCGACCTCTGTCTAGGCGGCTGAGGGGGGCCGAGTGGCGGGCGCAGTGGGCGCGAAGGAACTTGTCCGTTTAAACAAACAACGACGCACCACGGCAGCGGGAGATACCGGGGACCAGGCTCACCTTGAAGGGGTTGTTGAGATCC